AAAAGAAAAACATAGGTAATACAAAAAGAAAAAGAAGACATTGCATAAAACCTGCCAACCTTGAGACACCAGAGTACTAAGAGTGGTTCACAAACAACAACAAACAAGAAAAAAAACAGTTACTGTGGGAGTAGCCATCTGAGACACTTACTAAAAGTGATCCGAGACTTCCTTTAGCTCCTATCCAATTCAGACTCTTCTAGAAAAATATCACAGAGTGGGGGTCTTAAACAACCAAATATCACAGTGTGGGGGGGGCCTTTCTCACAGTTCTGGAAGCTGGAAGGATGAGATCAGGGTGCCAGCATGGTTGGGTTCTGGTGAGAGCCTGCTTTTGGTTTGTAGATCATCTCTGTCATGTATCCTCCTCGAGGGCACTAATCCCATTCATGGGGGCTCCAACCTCATGGTCAAATCACCTCTCAAAGGCCCCACCTCCTAATACTATCAGATTGGGGATTAGGGCTTCATCATAAAAATTTTGGGGTGACAAACATTCAGTCCAGCTCAGAAATGAAGAAAATCTAATCTAATAAAAGAGAAACATGCAAATTGACCATACCTTTGCTACGCCCACCAGCCAATCAGAGCGACTATATGCAAGTTAACCCAACCAAGATGGCGGCCGGCAGCCATGGAGCTGGAGCAAGCAGGAGGCTTGGTTGCCCTGGCAATAGAGGAAGCCAAGCTTCCCGCCTGCCCTGTCCGGCTATGGCCTCTGCTAAAGGCAACAAAGTTTCAATTATAGAAGCTAAAAAAATCCCAGATACCTGCTTCCAGCCAGCCTCCACTGGGATCTTGGGTGGCTGGGGGCCGTGGCCAGACTGCAAACAGCCATTGGCCCCTCACCCAGGCTGGCCAGGCACCCCAGCGGGGACCCCCACCCTGAAGGGGCTGTGGCCAGCCTGCAAACAGCCATCAGCCCCTCACCCAGGCTGGCCACACCCTCAAGGGGTGAGGGTCCCTGCTGGGGGGCTTGACCAGCCTGCAAACAGCCCTCAGCCCCTCACCCAGGCTGGCCAGGCACCCCAGCAGGGACCCCCACCCTGAAGGGGCTGTGGCCAGCCAGCAAACAGCCATCAGCCACTCACCCAGGCTGGTCAGGCACCCCAGCAGGACACCCCCTCCCTGAAGGGGGTGTGGCCAACCTGAAAAGGGCCCTCAGCCCCTCACCCAGGCTGGCCAGGCACTCCAGCAGGGATTCCCCACCCTGAAGGGGGTGTGGCCAGTCTGAAAACGGCCTCAGCCCCTTACCCAGGGTGGCCAGGCACCCCAGTGGGACCCCCACCCTCATCTGGGACACCCTTCAGGGCAAACCAGCCAGCCCCCACCCATGCACCAGGCATATAATAAAAGGGTAATATGCAAACTGACCCTAACAGCAGAAAGACTGGGAATGACTGGTCACTATGACACACACTGACCACCAGGGGGCAGACACTCAATGCAGGAGCTGCCCCCTGGTGGTCAGTACGCTCCCACAGGGGGAGCTCTGCTCAACCACAAGCCAGGCTGATGGCGGCCAGCACAGCAGTGATGGCGGGAGCCTCTCCCACCTCCTCAGCAGCGCTAAGGATGTCCGACTGCAGCTTAGGCCTGCTCCCCGCTGGCAGGTGGACATCCCCTGAGGGCTCCTGGGCTGCCAGAGGGATGTCTGACTGCCAGCTTAGGCCCGATCCCCCGGGGAGCGGGCCTAAGCCAGCAGGTGGACATCCCCCGAGGTGTCCCAGACTGTGAGATGGCACAGGCCGGGCTGAGGGACCCCCCCC